ATTCTGGAAGTGACTTCAAGAACCGGAAGTGACATAATATTTCTGAAATGATGTCAAATATCACTGGAAGTGACATCATAGGACCGAAGTGGCGACATAGAACTGGAAGGGACATATAATGGAATCTGAAGGTTATTAGTCTAATATCCTTAGGGATTGCTTCAAGGATCCGGAAGAGACGTCATAGTTACTGGAAGTGACGTCATCAAACAGGAAGTGACATCATAGTTACCGAAGTGACGTCATAATTTTAAGGTATATTAGGTTAATGACATATTTTGAGATTAGGATAGAATCATGATACATTTAAAGGAATCTATCGTAATCCGGATTTTATGGCGTTTTAGGATTATCATAATATCTATCATATCAACCATAACTATAGGAAGTTAGAAGACTCTCCATCTCTGGGAATGTATTCCCTCACCGCTACTGACCAATCTAGAGATAAATTATTTATCGCTGACTAATTCATAGTTATTCTTAGGAGGTTGAGTAATCAACTCTCAGCTAGTGGTATAGAGGGTAGTATCTTCCAAGGGTAACCCTCCTTCCTTACTTTGGGATTCAGGCTACCATAATCCAGAGGGAATGTTTATGTTATGATTAGGAACAATTACATGTATTGTTAGTAATTGTTAGTAAACTTACCTCTGGATTATGGGGAGTAGTTCCCACCCTGTGTCCTCCAGAAGATGTCATAGAAATTATCCTAGAAGATGTCATAGATGTGTTGTTTTTAGAAAAATTATGAAGGGTATTTAGGAGAACAATACAGTGACATTTGGGATCAAGGGGAGATAACTCAGGGTAGATTAGGTATACCACTAGGAATATCTATGCCACTTAGTGTTCAAATTTCTTTTGTTTTTCTGTTTGTATTCAGTGTATCCACAGGAATAAGGCTACCATAATCAAGAGGTAAGTTTACTGACAATTACTAACAATACAGCTAATTGTTCCTGTTTATGTCATGGTTCAAAACATATCCCTGCTGATACTTTTAAAGATTTGATGAATTTACAAGTTATCAATGGTGTAGAACACTTACAGAAATGCTCATGTCATTGAGGAATCGATCTTTCATGTTTTGGAAGAACAGCAAATTGAAGCCATAAAGACCAGTCCATACTTTGGCCTTATGTTGGATGAGACTTGTGACATCACCATACAAAACAAGCTTGCAATTTATGTCAGGTATGTTGATAGTGAACTCTGGGTGAACCTGCTGGTATACAGTATGCTGGACTTTGTTATGATTGAATTGAACAGTGAAAAATATACAATTTATGAACTAATCATGTCAATGACAATACAATACAAAACAACAAATTCTTTGCAAAACTCTTGTCTTTTGATTTACACAACGAAATATTACACTAAAATTTTCATGACTCCCAAATATTGAAAATTACTCCCCAAAATAACTATTGAGGCCAAAAATAAATGTTATGGTTTCGATTTCTACATTTCAGAACTAGGGTAGGTAGGTAGGTTTTTGTTTTTTTTGCAAAATATTTTACATTACTCATGTGTCAGAAAATAAATATAATTTATTATGTGGTGAGTAAAATTGTTAGGCTCTCGGCGGGAATATTAAGGGTCGGTCGGAAATCGGAACCACAAGCTTTTTTTAGGCCTGACTCCCATTTTTCAAAGTCTGTGTGAAACCCTGTTCCACGCATGGGTTCAATGTGTGAAATTCATTTCATGGTGTCTCCGGGTCGATATTGCTGGAATACTGCTGTGGGTTGAAATGGTATACCCAGTATTAGTAGAACCGCAGTATTTGCCTTCTCGGTTTGGTAATGCAATCCCAAAAATTTGTATTTTTCGGTTTTCATTCTCAATACTGCTATCTAAATCATAAAATGACAGTTTTGTTTATTCAAAATAACAAAGATTATGATTATCAAGCATGAGGAAGGTGAAATGGTTGGATGATCAGATGTACTGCTTCTCCAAGTTGCTGAGTTTGTTGATGGACTTAATTGCCACGTCTCCATGCAGACCATGGATAACTTCTTTGAGAGGCATTTTAGAAGTTGTATAATGCTAGTACCTACACCGAAACTTGGAGAAGAAGTTGCCTCTCAAAGAAATGTCCGTTTTGGCTCTTTGGCTCAATTTTCTGCATTACCATCATATCTGATTTACCAAAGGGAAACAAACCGAACCGAAGGCCTTGTATTGCAATACGCACTGTAACGCGGTAAGAGCTGCACGCTTCACCTCTAATATTGCTAAAACTCACTCACTCGCTCACTAATTATCAAGTGTATCATATTTTGATTCTGTTACGCTATGTAGCCTGAACCCAGCCATCCCCACCCTCATACACACTCATTCCTAATACATGTCTGGTATTGAAGTGGATGTAACGATGCCCTAAACTTGCTGTAACCATCACCATCTACAGTACAAACAGACCATCGCCATAAAGCAGGACTATTGCAGAGTGCTAAGTAAACTGAACTGAACTCACTCGCTCACTCACTCACTCACACTCACTCACTCACTCACTCACTCACTCACTCACTCACTCACTCACTCACTCACTCACTCACTCACTCACTCACTCACTCACTCACTCACTCACTCACCACTCACTCACTCACTCACTCACCTCACTCACCACTCACTCACTCACTCACTCACTCACTCACTCACTCACTCACTCACTCACTCACTCACTCACTCACTCACTCACTCACTCACTGGACTCACTCACTCTCACTCACTCACCTCACTCATAATTGCCCACCCGGAGGTCCAGCGTCGGTTGTTATTGTATCGGGCTGGCAGTTTTTCTTTTCAACTGAAACTTTTCCAATATTTTGTTTGTTTATTAACGTTGGGGAATCATCCATGATCAGTCATGTTACGATAACTTACAGTTTCAGTTTCTGGTATTTCAGCGTTTTGCGCATGGGAATATCAACACCAGTCTTTAACAAATACAAACTTCTCTCTGCGCCATAGGCTTTGCTAATTGATTTTGTAGAAACACTGTGAAACTGTGTACAGTGAAGTCTATTTTGTTTTTATTGGTTTGACTTTAACAAAATGGGCCTGCAGATTTCATTCAGGTCCTGTAGATTTTAAAGCCTGCAGGCACCAGCAGGCCCTGATGGCCAACTGGCAAATTAAAGTATTGCAAACACTGGCCTCAGTTACACAAATCAACTGGTTCAAAAACTTTACAAAAACACACAACTAGTCCCTTTTTAGTGATTGTTTGTTGTGAGACACAGGCCAACTGGTTGTTCTAACTTATCTGACTGAAAGTTGTGATTGTTTGTTGTGAGACACAGGCCAACTGGTTGATCTAACTTATCTGAGTTGAGGTGAGGTGAACATAACAACATAATTAACATAGAACCTAGAACATTAACCTCAAGAAAGTCTTCGTGAGAACGTGAACCACTTTCCATCCCAAAAGTCAACAGAACCATGGCTGCAACCCTGTCACCTCCTACCAAAAGACCCAAACCAGATTCAGCACCCATCAAGATATCCATCCCTACATTGGCAAACCAATACATCAAATCAGCCGCCTACTAAAACAACAAGCTGGCATAGATACCACCTTCTCCGCACAGGCCCTCCATACTTTTACAACATTCTCCATGCCAATGGAAGAAAACCCGCCACCGTAAAGAACAACAACCCAAAATGTGTCATCTACAAAATAAACTGTGATTGTGGGCAGAGCTACATAGGCTTAAACTTCCGACCCATCAACACCCGAAAGTGAAAGAACATCAGACCTCTGTCAACAATTCCGATAGCAAATCAGCCATTTCCGACCACATCAAAGCAAGCCCCAATCATCAAATGGAGTGGTCTTACATCACCATTCTCTCCAACAACCAAACAGATTTCACTAAACGCTAAGCTCACCAAGCTTATCCACATCAAACGCCAAAGCCCACCATCAACAGAGACCAAAGATACTTCATTCCATCCGCTTTATGATGCACTCATCCACCAAGCCCAATCTACTGTATAAACTCTGCTGTATAAACATCTCATTATTATTTGTACATCATTGGCTTCCACGCCTGTCCTTTGTCTACTCTCTGGCTTCATCAGCTTTCTGCCTAGCCAATTATGTTAATTATGTTGTTTTTCTTTGTTATATTGTTACGCCCAGTATATATACACTTCCCCTTCTTCATGATCCTTTATGCTTGACAACGGTATTAAGAATCTGTATCGAAACGCCAGACTCACTAATAAAAAGAAGTTGTTATCCATAAAGTTTGTTTCTATATTCTAGCTTATCTGACCTAAAGTTGTGATTGTTTGTTGTGAGACACAGGTCAGCTGGTTGATCTAACTTATCTGAGTTGAGGTAAGGTGAAATTTGGTTTTATCGCCGCGGTTTGAGCATATTTAGCTCTATATGACGACATGCATGCATGTGTATGTGTGTGTGAGGCTGCTTGCACTAGCCCAGACTTAAGCTGGTTTTATAGTGCTAGCCCACTGAGAGACCATGCCGCAGTGAAGCATGAATACCCCACTCAGACACATTATACTGACTCGAGCCGACCAGTCCTTGTTGTACCCATTAATGCCGAAAGGCCAGACAGGGACCAACAAGTACCATATTTTAACGCTCTTTTGGTATGACGAGGTCGGGATCGAACTCCGCGATCTTCTTCGGCCTCGGGCGGATGCTCTAACCACTACACCACACGGAGGCAGTCAATTTATCTGAGCGACAGTTCTGTTTGTTTGTTGTGAGACACAGACCAACTGGTTGATCTAACTTATCTGACTGATTATCTGAGTATGATCATACAGGATGGGATGACCATGCTCTTAATATCAACCACTTGTTTGTCTTGCCCTGATTTGATTATTTTTCCATGATATTTTTAATCATGTAAAAACTCACTGATTTTGCTGGAATATTGTTGGAATGCAGTCAGTAGTCAAAGTAGTCGAATTTCAATTATTCATTCTCCAACTCATGCTATCATTGTTGACAGGACTGCCATTTTACAATCCAAGGAGGCCGAGAGAAGCGAGATGGCAGCTACCAGCTCCCTGTGGTAGTCCTCCAGCTGAACCTGCCACCCCCTCAGTCTCGATCCCCATCCCTGCTCACCCCGGGGGCCATGGAGAACTTGTTCCATGAGTTTGGTCATGCCATGCACTCTATGCTTGGTCGCACAAAGTACCAACATGTCACGGGTACAGTAAAGTATTCATAATGTCTCTCCCTCCCTACAGGGGCTGTGGGGTAGCCCAGTGGTTAAAGAGTTTGCTCGTCACGCCGAAGACCCGGGTCCGATTCCCCACGTGGGTACAATATGTGAAGCCCATTTCCGGTGTTCCCCGCCGTGATTTTGCTGGAATATTGCTAAAAGCCGTGTAAAACTCAACTCACTCACTCATTCTCTCTCCCTACTGTCCCCTGGGGCCTTGGAGAACAAATGTCATGCTATCATTGTGTGCCCAGTTCTGTTTGATGGTGCTTTTTGTATGCATTAGAGAATAGTTCTCTCCTTGTGACTATATTTTCAGTAAGACATAAAAAACACAATGTGCCTGAGAAACTTTCAACCCTTTTTTTGTAGGTACACGATGTTCAACAGACTTTGCCGAGGTGCCGTCGGTACTGATGGAGTTCTTTGCAGCTGACCCCAGGGTAACCTTGCTTAGCATGATATGGTCCAGTGGTGAGAGTGTTTCCACGGAGACTGGATAGTTGAGGGTTCTATTCTCCTGCCGCGTCATCCCCAAAGACAATAAAATATGGGACCTGTGAAGGTCCGGGTTAGAATATTGACCTTCAGTAACCCATGCTTGTCGTAAGAGGCGACTAACGGGATCGGGTGGTCAGACTCGCTGACTTGGTTGACACATGTCATCGGTTCCCAATTGCGCAGATTGATGCTCATGCTGTTGATCGCTGGATGTTTTTGTCTAGACTCGATTATTTACAGACTGCTGCCTTACAGCAGGAATATTGCTGATTGTGGCGTAAAACTAAACTCACTCACTCAATAAAATATGGTACTTGTTGTTACATTGCCTGATGGTCATCATTAAGTGGATGCTTCAGTAGAAGCCGAGGGTTCACATTCCACTGCTACATCAACAATATGATATGGTTGATTGCATGTCCAACACTGGTTTGTGTGATCCACTTGTTTACATGACATCTTCATACTGATGAAAGATTGCCAAGTGTGACATCTACTGACCTACTGACAAACGAACACTTGTTTGAGCAATTCCGCTTTAGATTTTTATGTAATTTGATGGATTTCTGTTAAATATTCCGGGCCAGAAATGTCCCAATAAACCAATGTAGGGCGCTGAGGTAGCCCAGTCGTTAAAGCGTTTGCTAGTGAAGCCTGACTCACTCACTCACTATAAACCAATGCATGTTGTACGAGGTGACTATATGGATCAGACTTAATCGATAAATATTGCTTGAATAAAGGTTGATGTGTATGTGAGATATATTGTACTCACTAACTCAGTATGAGTCAAAACAACTGGCATCATGAGATCATGCTATCCATCACTGCTTGGCACAGAGATACCGAGTTTAACAAATTAAACCAGCATAGTATATCAGGGTGCTATTTAGCTATTTTCATACTGCAATGGTGCATGTTAAATATGGTTGGTGCAGGTTACCTTCAGTAACAGGTTACACTCGGTGCAGGTAACAATATATCTTCCAGCATCTTATAGCTGACATCTTTTCTTTAATTGGGAAGTAAGTGACTGGAAGTAATATGTTTCTCTTTCCGCTTGACTTGTTACAAGCATAAAGATTTTTTTACTCATTAATCAATTACATAGAAAAAATCATTTAACTGAGATTTGATTAAGGCAAAATTGAAACAGAATCATTCATCATTTATCCTCCTGGGTCAGGTTCTGTTGAACGTTATCTGATACTCAGGATTTGTTTTGATATTGCTAAACAGATATTTATGTTACTTTTTAGAACCAGTGACATTATTTTCTGGTGCAACCACAATTTTGATGGTGCATCCAAACCGATAACCCAGGTTGCACTCGGTGAAGGTACAGAAAAAAACCAACGAAACCGCACACTGTATATACCTATATCACATGTTATATTTTGGATTACACTTTCTGAGTGTTACATTTGACCACTTTCTAAATGGCATTGTGTATTTATAGCTTTCAGCCGTGGAAGCTGTGCCAATTTACACTTGTCAGAGGGGTACACAAAGTCCGCAGTCTAGACTGCCAGTTATCTGACTTCCATTCTGTGGAAGCTGTGGTGGCTGAGTGAGTTAGATGGCTGACTTTGTGTGCTGGAGATTAGGTGTCTGACTCTGAGAGTGTGAGTACAAATCACGGATGGGACTCAACTCAACAAAAGTACTAGAATGTGTGCTTTACTGAGAAAGTGTAATCCCAAATATAACGTGTTACTTCTGACCACTTTCAAAATGGCATAGTGTATTCATACTTCATATGTCTGTGATATTGGTTAAAGTGTTCACTCGTCATGCCGAAGTCCTGAGTTCGATTCCCCACATGGGTACAATGTGTGAAGCCCATTTCTGGTGTCTTCTGCCGTGATCTTGCTGGAATATTGCTAGAAGTGGCGCTAAACTATACTCACTCACTTTGTGATATTGGATAGCTGAGAGGATTGGCGTCTAGTTGTAGCATGTATATTACTGGACAATCTTCATTGTAGGTGCTGTCAACATTTGCCCGACACTACAAGACTGGGGAACCTTTGGCACCAAGCACCATCCAAGATCTGTGTCTGTCCAAGAGAATGTATGCTGCATCGGTAGGACTTATAACTATAGTCATTCATCGCACATGAACCATTTGGAAAAAACTGTTCAGGATGTGTATACCTGACATGATCCTTGTAACAGGGCGTTAAGACCGCCTCTGTGGTGTCGTGGTTTGAGCGTCCGCCCGGAGAATAGAAGATCGCGGATTCGATCCCCGGCCACATCTTTCCAAAAGATGTTAAAATATGGTACTTGTTGGTCCCTGCCTGTCGCTCGGCATTAATGGGTACAACAAGGACTGGTCAGTATAATGTGTCTAAGTGGGGTATTCATGTGGTGGGGTGGTGGGTGGGTTAAAGCATTGGCTTGTCACGCCGAAGACCTGGGTTTGATTCCCCACATGTTTGAAGCTCATTTCCGGTGTTCTTGTCTGTGATATTGCTGGAATATTGCTTAAAGTGATATAAAACTATACTCACTCACTCTCTGATACAATAGGAATTGCATTTAAGGTGAAATTTGGAATCAGCTCAGCATTTGAAAATTGCTCTCATTGATACAAGGTACACTACCTCCATTGTGTAGATGGATAGAATGTCTTCACAGAGAGTTGAAGGCTGGTGGTAAGATCTCAGTAGGCCTGAAAGATAGTACTTAGTGATTTACTGACTGTACAGGCCTACCATATTGTTGCCCGATCTTGTAGTAGAGCTGGATTGCCCAGTTGTTTGACTTTCTTCAGGAGGTGCAGCTTGTTGTGTTTTTCTACGGTTGGCAATTCAGACTGCCCAGTTAAAGAATCTTGTTGACTATGTGGAGGATAGGCTGTTGAGTTTGAGATCTGTTTGATTTTCTTCAGGAGAAGCAGATGTCTGCTGAAGGACAGTCAAACTGTTGAGTTTGAGAACTGTTTGATTTTCTTCAGGAGATGCAGCTGCAGGTGTTCTACTCTGTCCTGGACCAGGTGTACCATGGATCCCACCCTCTGGGAAGGTCCACGACACAGGTCCTGGCAGATCTGCAGGCGGAGTACCATGGCACACCCTACATTGACAACACGGTAAGCGACCATTTGTTTGTGGTGGAGGCTTGGACATTGTCAAGATGACTTAATCTTGAAAATACTGGATGAGATAATTTTAGGACTGCAATGAATACACTATATGGCGAATATGATACGTACCCTGAATATTGGGTAACGGATTCGAATAATTATTCACGAATACAATATTGTAGTTAAGTGATTGATGTACAATATGGAACGCCCATGTTGACAGTGTTAATTTGTCACAGCAATAACCAGTGATCTCATGACACTCAAATTTGCTTTGTAATAGTTATAGTCGACAGTACTATGCGCGGCCTTGGCAAACTAACATGACTTGCGCTACTGCAATGCTAGTACATGTTCCATTCTTGCATATCTCACTTTGGAAAAGGACATAAGGGTTCAAGTAAAACATGCTCCCTTAAAACAATCGTAAATATTCGTTAATAATCGGTTCTGGTGACCATGAATAACGAATTGAATTCATGAAGGGCTACGGTTTGATTCACTGAATATGCGAGTGAATCGTTACAGCCTTAATCATTTTAATGCAGGTTTTGCAAACAAATAAAACAGTATTTCTTCTAAGTCAAGAATTCATTAAGCGTCTTCCATATAAAAGTGTCCAAACTGAGTAAGTTGGAATTCTTATGAAATCATAATTTGTTGAGATCATGAAGGTATTCATGGTAGATGTTTGTTCTCATATGTATGCCGATAATATTAGGGTATCTATACAGAGACATGTTTAAATTGGTCTTCAGTGACCCATGCTTGTCGTTAAGAGGCAACTAATGGGATCGGCTGGTCAGGCTCACAGACTTGGTTGAAATAAGTCATTGTATCCCAATTGAGTAGATGGATGCTCAGGATGTTGATCACTGGATTGTCTTGTCCAGACTCTATTATTTACAGGCCACTGCCATATAGCTTGAATATTAATGATTTGCGGAGTTTAACAACAATACAACCAACCAATCTACACAGACAGTTGAAATCAGCATCAAAAACAAGCTTTATTCAAACTATTTTAGGCGTGGCAGTTACGATTTGGTCACCTGGTTGGTTATGGCGCCAAGTACTACTCATATCTCCTCTCAAGAGCAGTGGCATCTAAGATCTGGTACCAGAGCTTTAACCAGAACCCTTTCAGCAGGTGAGTTCCATGACTGACTGACTGAGTTTGGTTTTTACGCCGCTTTTAGCAATATTCCAGCAACATCACGGCGGGGGCCACCAGAAATGGGCTTACACATTGTGCCCATGTGGGATTTGAACCCGGTCATCCAAAACGCTTTCAGCACTCTGAGTTCCATCAGAAACAGAATAACAATAGTGTTTTCAGAAATAATACATAATGACATGGTTCAGTAATGGATTGAAAACCTCTTGAATTAAACTATTGTGTTGGAAAAAAATCTTGACGTCAGCTGTTGTCTTGGGAAAAATCCTTGAAGTTAACAGCTATTTTGGAAAGAAATTTCCTGGACAAATTCTTGAATACAACAAAAATGTCAAGTAGGTGACAAGTTGAATCTAAATACAGAATCATCTCGATGTTTGTACTGAAGTTCAAGTTTTGCAAACACCACTCACTGACAAGCTGATAAGTATGTGTGACTTTCACAAGATTGTAGCACTATTGTGATAAACAGGAAAATTGTGTTTATGCTTAACATCTTTTGTATGGATTTGCATTCATGATGAATTTTGTATTTGATTTGAGGTAAACAGTTCACCACACCAGTAGGGTGGTCTGTTTACTGCCTAACTTGTTGGAGGTTTCACTGCATTGGGACTTCATATATTTGATGAAGTACTATTCTTGAAGTACTTTATATCTTTTGTTTTTTTGATGGAAAAAATGTATGTGATTGAGGGGCGGTTCAGCAGCCTTGTGGTTGAAGCGTTCACTTGCCATGCCAAAGGCCTGGGTTTGATTCCCCACATGGGTACAATGTGTGAAGCCTATTTCTGGTGTCCCCGCCATGATATTTATCAAATAGTGTCAAAAGAGGCAAAAAAAACCCATACTGACTTACTCACTCGTTTTTGTTTGAATCTCTGATTGTGACTTTTCATTGTTTAGGACATGGACAGTCAAGCTTGATAATCTGAAAAAAGATGCGAGAAGTCCCTCCTCAAAACATGTTAATGAAAAGCTGTTAGATTGTTCTTGAACTTCTTTGGAGTAGAATATGTTGTGTTGTAAGATGAATATGTTGTATTGTAAGATGAATATGTTGTATTGTAAGATGAATATGTTGTATTGTAAGATGAATATGTTGTATTGTAAGATGTATATGTTGTATTGTAAGATGTATATGTTGTATTGTAAGATGTATATGTTGTATTGTAAGATGAATATGTTGTATTGTAAGATGTATATGTTGTATTGTAAGATGAATATGTTGTATTGTAAGATGTATATGTTGTATTGTAAGATGAATATGTTGTATTGTAAGATGAATATGTTGTATTGTAAGATGAATATGTTGTATCGTAAGATGAATATGTTGTATCGTAAGATGTATCGTAAGATGAATATGTTGTATTGTAAGATGAATATGTTGTATCGTAAGATGAATATGTTGTATCGTAAGATGTATCGTAAGATGAATATGTTGTATTGTAAGATGAATATGTTGTATCGTGAAGATGAATATGTTGTATCGTAAGATGAATTGAATATGTTGTATCGTAAGATGAATATGTTGTATCGTAAGATGAATATGTTGTATCGTAAGATGAATATGTTGTATCGTAAGATGATGAATATGTTGTATCGTAAGATGAATTGAATATGTTGTATCGTAAGATGAATATGTTGTATCGTAAGATGAATATGTTGTATCGTAAGATGAATATGTTGTATCGTAAGATGAATATGTTGTATTGTAAGATGAATATGTTGTATCGTAAGATGAATATGTTGTATTGTAAGATGAATATGTTGTATTGTAAGATGAATATGTGCTTATGTTATTTCATTGGTTGTAGGGAGTCGGGTGAGCTGTATAGACGAGAAGTCCTCGACCATGGAGGGGAGAAACCACCAACCCAGCTTGTACAAGGTAGGAAGAGAAGGTGTTCATGGAAACATACAGGATAGGGAACCTGTGTTGAGATGTACTGACTATTAGCGTGGTGTTCAGGGAATTTAACAGGATAGACACATGGGGAATCTGTATTGTGCCTCCATGAGTGTTTTACACAGGGTTTGGGGCAACTATTATGAAAAAGTATTTTTGGAAAATGTCTCCGTGGCTTTGAATTAGTAAGGTAGGGTAGGGATGCTCTGTAGGTGTGGGTGAAGGAGTCAGATATCGGCAGATGGGGTGTTCTGTAGGTGTGGGTAGAGGAGTCGGATATCAGCAGATGGGATGCTCTCTTGGTGGGTGTAAAGGAGTTCAATAGGGTCAAATGGGATGCTCTCTTAGGTTAGTGTAAAGAAGTCCAATAGAGGGGAATAGGATGCTCTCTTAAATCGGTGTAAAGAAGATCAATAGGGGCGGATGGGATGCTCTCTTAGGTCGGTGTAAAGGAGTTCAATAGGGGCGGATGGAATGCTCTCTTATATGGGTGTAAAGGAGTCCAATAGGGGCGGATGGGATGCTGTCTTGGTGGGTGTAAAGGAGTTCAATAGGGGCGGATGTGATGCTCTCTTAGATGGGTGTAAAGGAGTCCAATAGGGGCGGATGTGATGCTGTCTTGGTGGGTGTAAAGGAGTTCAATAGGGGCGGATGGGATGCTCTCTTAGATGGTTGTAAAGGAGTCCAATAGGGGCTGATGGGATGCTGTCTTGGTGGGTGTAAAGGAGTTCAATAGGGGCTGATGGGATGCTGTCTTGGTCGGTGTAAAGGAGTCCAATAGGGGCTGATGGGATGCTGTCTTGGTGGGTGTAAAGGAGTTCAATAGGGGCGGATGGGATGCTGTCTTGGTGGGTGTAAAGGAGTTCAATAGGGGCTGATGGGATGCTGTCTTGGTGGGTGTAAAGGAGTTCAATAGGGGCAGATGGGATGCTGTCTTGGTGGGTGTAAAGGAGTCCAGGTGCGGATGGGATGCTGTATTCTTTAGTATGAATGTGTGGATATTTTGGCAGGAAGCTGCTGCAGGTTAATGGATTTGGAAGTTAGCTGTCGAGGTGGGTATTAAGAAGTTAATGGTGTGGTGTTGACACAGGTTACTGCCAGGCCTTTGCTTAATATGCTTATTTACTGCTATTTAAGATTGTTACGAGTCTATTCACTGCCTGCTGTTCCAGGTATGCTTGGAGAGACACCGACAGCAGAAACACTGGTGATGTCTCTTGTTCAGGATCTGGATGAAGGAGCAAGATTGCTGGCCACATAGCAGAGTTACACTGAAATTTGTAAAACCAACATATTCCATTGAGTAACAAAGCAAGATGTTCATAGTAACACATCACATTGCAGCCATGCAGAATAACGTGATGTGAAAGCCTGGCAATGGGGGATCATGAATAGTCATGAGTATCATGCATTGTGATGAGTTAGTGAGTGAGTCGGGTTTAAACCTGCTTTTACAACTGATCTAGCCATATTCTGACATTGGAACACCAGAGATGTTCAGTGCTAAATATCCAACATGTTGGGAATTGAACGAAGGCTTCCTCTGTGACGAACAACAGATCAAAATTGCTTTTAGAACTGATGCAGCCCTATTCTGACATAGGAACACCAGAGATGGTCAGTTCTCAGTGTACACATGTAGAGAATTGAACCCAGGCTTCCCCTGTGACGAACAACAATCAAAACTGCTTTTAGAACTGATATTCTGTCATGGGTACACCAGAGATGGTCAGTTCTCAGTGTACACATGTAGAGAATTGAACCCAGGCTTCCCCTGTGACGAACAACAATCAAAACTGCTTTTAGAACTGATATTCTGTCATGGGTACACCAGAGATGTTCAGTTTTAGTCTACTCATGTGGGGTATTGAACCCGAACTTTCTCTTTGACAAGAGAACTGATGTTTAGAACTGATCAGTCTACGCTAAATTACCATTTTGCTGTCCTTGCAGAGTGTAGAACACAAAGGCTCCAGACTAACGATCAAATTACCATCTCATCCTGCTGGGTACCGATCTAATGCTGGGTGAAGAATAATATTCTCATTTATCGTGAACTTCAGTGTAACTTTTGGGAACATTTGTATGAATTGTGCTCTTAAAAAGAAACCAAACTTTTGAATACTTCTTGACATAAATGTTAGAGAAACATTATTTTATTTATGTGATTGACTCAAGTTCTGTTACACCAAATGATACAAGAAATACAAATAAAACAAATAATGATCATCTGTTATTGGATTTGTGGATGGTTATCAAAATGTGGCACAACAACCCCGTCTGGGATGTTGGTGTTGTTCATTAAGATTTTGTCTGATCGTAACAAGGTCAGGTTTACAGCCATGTGAGAGAAAGGCTATATCCTCCTTTTCAGTTGGCACTCGTGGTTGATCGGAACGCTGATGTCCTGAACGTCCTTAGTTTGCTGATATTTTCTAGCCAATCGGCTGATAGTTGATGGATAAACATGGAACGTGATCTGTGCAAACTGGGAGTGAGACCCACAATCATCGTTTTGGCATGCCTAAGGGACGCAACTCTACCACACATATTGCAGCACCTCAGTCTACCTGTTCTCCCCAATTTTTAAGGGATTGTCATCATTGTTTTGTGTGGAAGTGATACTTGCAATTTCCCGTATATTGTATTAATACCCGAGCGTAGATGTCATACTGTATTTACAACATGAGTTACAGAGAGTGAGGGAAATATCATTTTTCTGGCACAAGTTTTGTAAGTACAATATGACATCTACGCGAGTGGGTCCTTATGACCCCCTACTCTTCAGAAGGCTGAAATATAGTGTTTATTAGTGTTGATAAATGTGTCAGACGAAGGAAACAAGAGTGATTGAAGTTGTAGTAAACATTGTATCTGTAGTAAAAAGTTATGAATGAAAAAAGTAGTCCCGCATTCCGATGTCACGTGATTGTCTCAGTCGGCCAATGAAATTACCCCTAGGGTTTATTACACATGTGCTACGTATCGAAAATACATCATCACCTATTTTAACTCATATGGATAATAAAAAAGATTCTTTCAAATCATGCACGTATTACCTTATGCGTTTATGTGTATGTACATATTTCATTATACATAGGAAGGCATGTTGACTATACAAGTACACGTAACATCACTGTTTTGCTTAAGTTGGACGTGTGGAAATATTGAGTATGATATGTTTTGTGAATGTTGTTTAAGATGTCCCTGTTTTATAGAATACAAATACATGACATGTAGGAATCTTTCATGTTCTTTTTGTTTTTACTCATGTATAAAGTGAGTAGGTCTTTGTACGTTTTTGCCAAACAGTAGTCCCGCCTATCCCAATTGCATGGAACGATGCTCGTGCTGTTGATCACTGGATTGTCTGGTCCACACTGGATTATTTACAGACCGCCGCCATATAGCTGGAATATTGCTGAGTGCGGCATTAAACAACCAGCCAACCAACCAACCAATCCAAGAAATAGACGATTCCCATGCTGTTGATCACTGGATTGTCTGGTCCAGACCGGATTATTTACAGACTGCTGCCATATAGCTGGGATATTGCTGTGTGCAGCGTTAACAACACACCAACCAACCAAGCAATCCAAGAAATAACACGAGTTGGTCACCGTTTAGCATGAAGCGGGGATATAGTATTAGGCTCCGTACGTCTGTCCGTCCGTCCGTACGTACGAATTGGAATATCTTAAGAACCGTTGACTTGATTCTTTTCATATTTGGTACCTAGGTTTATCATGGTAAAAGAAAGGTCCCAGTCAGGTTTGGTGACTTTGCCTTTCATTTCAAGGTCACAAGGGGACTTTAACGTTTTACCCTTGTCAGCGAGATATCTCAAGAACCGTTCACTGGATTTTCTTCATATTCAATACTAAGCTTTATCTAGGGAAGGCGCAGAGCCCAGTCGATTTTGGCGACCTTCACTTAATTTTCAAGGTCACAGCGACACTTTGAAGATTTCAGCATGTTAACCTGCATGTTAAGCTTGTCAGCGAGATATCTCAAGAACCGTTCACTGGATTTTCTTCATATTCAACACCAGGCTTTATCTAGGGAAGGCGCAGAGCCCAGTCGAATTTGGCGACCTTCACATAAATTTCAAGGTCACTGCGACACTTTGAAGACTTCAGCATGTTAAGCTTGTCAGCAAAATATCTCAAGAACAATTCACTTGACTTTCTTCATATTTGACACCAAGCTTCATCTGGGGAAGGTGCAAGGCCCAGTCGATTTTGGTGACCTTCACATAATTTTCAAGGTCACAGCGACACTTTGAAGATTTCAGCATGTTAGCCTGCATGTAAAGATTGTCAGCGAGATATCTCAAGAAGCATTCACTGGACTTTCTTCATATTTGACACCAAGATTCATCTAGGGAAGGTGCAAGGTCCAGTCGATTTTGGTGACCTTCGTCTAATTTTCAAGGTCACAGCGACACTTTGAAGATTTCAGCATGTTAAACTGCATATTAAGATTGTCAGCGAGATATCTCATGAACAGTTCACTGGATTTTCTTCATAGACTTTCAAGACTTCCCTTGAATGTTTTTCAATAAGCAATTTCTTTATTACTATTTTTGCATATTTCATACACTAAGACATTTATGTCAAGGTCAAAATGAGTCTTGAAAATATTTGTGCGTTTGAACAACTACAGATCAAGATATCAAGAGAGGTTGACTGGTCATGTTTTTGTTGACATTTATCTTAAACTACGACCTTCACTTTCATTACTTTTTAAGTTTGATTTGATAATTTGCGGCGGGGGATTATGTCACCTTAGTGACAATGTTTGTTGTACTCAAATTGACCGTTTTGCCACGTTGTGTACTAACTTAGTGGTGAGGTGGCCAGGCAGTACGCATGACAGCAAGACCCCTGAAGATCCGGTTAGAATTGATCTTCAGTAACCCATGCTTGTCGTAAGAGGCGACTAACGGGATCGGGGTAGTCAGGCTCGCTGACTTGGTTGACACATGTCATCGGTTTTCCAATTGTGCAGATCGATGCTCATGCTGTTGATCACTGGATTCTGTGGTTCAGACATGATTATTTACAGACCGCCGCCATATAGCTGAAATATTGCTGAGTGTGGCGTTAAACTAAACTGCGGCGTAAAACTCATACACTAACTGAAAGAGGGAAACTGTCCGTGAAAATCATATTATGCACAGTAAAAACGTATCCCTTCAGAGACTTAAACAAAGAGAGCGGAGACAATGTGTGAAGCCTATCTCTTTGCCACAGAAAAATATAATTATACAAAATGATACTGGAGAGAAGTATTTTCAGTCCCAATGGAGATACAGCAGATATAGTATGACCAGAAAGTATTGAGAATTTTAGGAATATGTTTAATTGGAATTCTAGTATAAACAACCTTGACCAGCTATCATTCAAGAGAGACAACTCCGTTAATCCGTTTTCATTAGTTTGTGAAGAGTTATCTCCCTTTGTTTACTTGCTAGCCGACGACATTTTCAGTGATCCTCAGTATGGATGATTTAGAGACGAGGAAGTTGATTTTTTTTAGAGTATTATAACAAGGACATCAGATCAGCTTAAGTGATTTCAAGTAGAACAGGCATCCCTTTGTCCACTGTTTATCGTGTTTTGAAAAATATTGCAAATGGATATGGAAATTGAGCACCAGGGAGGCGCAGGCAGGCCCAGAAAATTGACTGTCGGTGACAGGAGGCGGCTTGGTATTCTTGTTTCTAAAAACAAACGGAGGAGTTTAGAAAACTTAAGGCTGGATATGAATGATAGAGGAACTGTGGCTGTCTTTAAGGAGACAATTAGAACTGAGCTGCATGCAATGGGTTGGCAGAAAAGTCGAGGAATTCCATCACCGATCATGAAACCTGAACAAAAGAAGCTAGGTTGAACTTGTGCTTACAGCATAGAAATTTTAACTGGGACAATGTGATTTTCTCAGATGAAAGTTCTGTGTGGCTGTTTCCTAATACACTGAAATTGTGGACCAAACAAACTGAAAAACCTTTGTATCAGCGCCCAAAGTACAGAAAAAGCTAGCGGGTATTGACCCGAGGTTTTATAATCTCCGTCAACTGCGACATCTGTATAGTTCTATAATGTATGGTCATGCCTCGCCAGTACACGTTGAAATAATCCATACACACGGGCAACCTGATTCAATGCACATCAGATGAAACAGCTCCATGGACGGTTCAACATATGCGTAAACGTTAGTACACGTAGTATTATAGGCCGTTTGACTTCATTTTGGACCGATGAATTGGTCACTAACACAAAATGTAATAATTGCAACAAAACCAAACTTTGCACAGTCGCACGAAATCAACAGACTCAAAATTTTGGTCACCCGAATAAAAAAAGTTGTTTAACATACGATCACTATTTTGTTGTCACTTTTCGCTATTTCATACGAGGGAGAACCACTTGCTAGTAGAACAGCCAGGTGTGCGAGTTGTACGTGTGAAATTGAAATTGCACTGCACACCCTTGTTGATTACCCGGCTGTTCTACCAGCAATTGGTCCTCCCTCGTAAGAAATAGCGAAACGTAACAACAAAATAATGATCGCTTGTTAAACAACTTTTCTGTTCCTATGTTCAAAATTTTGAGACAAATCATCAGAGTTGGTCTGTCGATTTCATGTGACTCTGCAAAATTTGGTTTAGTTGCAATTATTATATTTTGTGTTAGTGAGCAATTCATCGGTCCAAAATGAAGTCAAACGGACTATACACTTAAATGTGAGTTGAAAATATATCATGGCCAGATTTTGTATAACAGCTAATTCTTAGTAATATATTATCATCTCTGTCTTTGTATTGGAATCGGGAACCGAATCTCCCTGGGAGAAGTTTGTTGGTTACTACCGTACAATAGTGTTTAATCCTCGTCCTATCGGCGCGGTGTGGTAGTCTAGTGGTTAAAGCGTTGGCTCGTCACGCCGAAGACCCGGGTTCGAATCCCCACATTGGCACAATGAGTGAAGCCCATTTCTGGTGTCCCCCGCCGTAATATTGCTGGAATATTGCTAAAAGCGGCGTAAAACCAAACTCAGTCAGTCAGTCAGTCCTCGTCCTATCTCTTAAATGCGTTTTCGGCACGCGCGAAGAGCAACCTCCTCTTGTTGAGTGCTGTTTAACGTTAATAGCTCGTGCGTGTGGGCCCGAGGCAAAATAGGTCCTCAGCACCCCATTGCTGGTGGTAAGAGGCGGCCACACTGGGCAACATGTTTGCCGTCGGCTGAGCCCATGTGTCGGTGGTGGACGGGATCCTGGTGGGTCCGCACGCTGCTTCCGAGTAGGTACAGTGTTCCTTTTGCCCAACGGGCGGTGGGGTAGCCTAGTGGTTAAAGCGTTCGATTCCCTACATGGGTACAATGTGTGAAGCCAATTTCTGTGTCCCCGGCTTAATATTGCTGGAATATTGCTAAAAGCGGCGTGAAACTAAAATCACTCACTCACTTTTGCCCAACACACCACTTCGACCCTGACCACTGTTACATAGACGGTGCAAATTCACATATTCGTAAACCATGGTTCCATGAAGAATGCAAACAGACCAGTAAGCGTAGGAAAACAATATTTCAGCCAATATTCACAGTCCATAATTTAGATTTCAAGGCTGTATATAAACAGAATAAGTTTCAGTTTTGGATGAATCATGTTTCCAAAATAAATTCCCCTACACTAATGTGAACAAATGAGCATTGTTGTAGACAGGCCGGAATAGGCCAAAAATGACGTCATCATCGAACACCTGGCTGACCTCATTTCACAGGGGTGTCAATGACCTTGTACTGGGCTGACCTTGGGAAACCACTTTCCCAGGGGTATTTTTAGATCAGGAGCATAGCAACCGAAAGAGAATGACATCATGGTAGTGATGTAGATTTACATGTGTAAGAGTGTGATGTTCATTGTACAATACTGTGTGTATTTGTGACTATTTGAGAATAAATCAGTTTTGGTTGTCATTGGTTGATGTGGTGTATAAAAGTCCTAACAAAAGGTAGGTGAAGGGAGAGCAGAGTGGCACAGTGGAAGCGCACTGGGCTCATAACCCAGAGGACCGTGGATCGAAACCACACTCTGCTAACAACGTGTTTTTAGGAGTTAGAATTAGGGCTAGCAGACATCTATATAAAGGACAGAAACGGTGATTTAGCTTCATTTAGCCGTGGACCCGTGATAGTGACACTTCATCTGAAACCTCTGTGTGAGAGTCAGTATTCG